GGTTCGATTCCCCGGTCGGGGCATATTATAGTTGGCACTTTCCTTGCAATGTTCAAGTGTATGTTGCTGGTTGACGATGAGAAAATTCAGTCCTCGTTTTGAGACGATCAGAATACGTCGTAGGGATATCTGTGTGCTAACCACACGTACCCCTTAACCCATGGCCGCGAGGGCAGGACGCTGCTGGTAGGCCTTGGCCCCATCAGACGCTGTTGTGCCAGTACAGACAGACATGTTCTCGATCGATGAGTAAAATGTCTTTTCACAAGGAAAAGGAGAATTTTATCAAAATATTACGCAAGTGATACATGGGCCGGGGAGGGAAATATATAAATTGTTTTCAGTTCCAACCCTCGATCTGAATTAAGTGCCTATGTTGTTTAGCTCAATTAAATCAAAAAGATGTTGAAGAAACATACTTTAAGCTTTTCAAGTTCATATGAATCCCAATTTTCCCGATAGATGTGTTGTATATTTTGCTAACAGGAAAATAACGTAGGAAGGCCGCAAATGATAACTTGTTGCCAATGAACATGTAGTGAGAAATTCGTTGTAACGGAATTACTGCTATTAAAATTTCCCCATATTTTTAGGTAACACAGCATGCACAGTTGTTTGGCGAGTCACATTCAGTCGCAGTGAAGGATATTTTATGAACTTTGCTGATCATTTTTGCATATGAGATTGCCTAACTAAGAGGAGCGAACGTAAATGTATATATGCATATCACTCCGTCACATGCAATTTCCCTCTTTACATTTAGCCAATAAGTGATCCTCTCGGATTCATTTATATGTCCTAGAAAATTTGTAACAATTGTTTGAGACATTCCATATAAGAATACCCTCTTATCATTCCATCCTAGTACATTCTCTAGGGAATGTTCTGTTCGTGCTATACCCCTTACACTACCTGCATTTAAGAACGACTGCAACGTTCGATGATTAGAAAAACTTGTAACATAGTGGCTTATACGCACAAATGATATTAAAAGTTACATTTGTCATGAACAAAAAACATATCCTTCGCTGAAAATTAATACACCAATTAGCCACAATCCGAAACTGAGGAATATATGAGTATGTTGACAGCAGACTAACGTGAAAAACATAATCTATAAACGCAAACATAAAAATTGTTTTGGAAAAAAACTCCTTGCTATCTGTCGGATGGATCATTCTTTTGGACACAACCTGCAAATACAACATTATTCAATGATTTTAATCTTAAGTATTAAAGTATTGAGAACCATTGCTAATATTCCCCTGCATCTGAGAAACGATGTATTTCGTAGAAATTTTAAAATAAAAAAAGTCATAGTGTTGTAAATTCTTCGATAATTTAGAGACTCTCAGTAATGTTCTAGCTAGAAACTTGGTAGATAATAGTTCAGATATTTTATCATTGGACCTGCCATTAAATTTTTATTATGCAATCGATTTGTTGCTATTTTCAATAAGTTATTACGCGAGATACCATCTATTGTGAAATCATTAGCGATTTTCCCTTCCCTGTTATTCGATTTAGTTATTGTTCAGTGCCAAAATGAACACAATCAGTAGCTCAATGGACTTAATGCAAATAGGATGTTACGAATGTAACAAATAACTTAAGATACCTTGTCTACATCGTAGTGTATAATTTTTTAATGTTCACTTTTTCCATAGAACGATGTACATACCCATTGCATAGTCTGTGAGAATTGGCAATTTTGCATTGCTTGCTTTGACAATCATGAACAAATAATAAAAAAATACATTTAAAAATGAATACAAATAAACTTAACTAAAGTAGAATTATTGATGAATGCGAATGTGAGGATTGTAGAATGATTGTGGTTTAATTGTAGAACGATTTATCTCTATTTTCAGACGTACATTGATAAGTAAACTGAGTTTTCTGTTACTAATATTCTTGCCACATGTATTTCATTCACTGCCGCAACCCACATGACATATTTTGTGTGAAACTTATGGGTTTCTAATTATCGCGTTACTTTCAATCTAGAATGAGTTGGCTTCGTGGTAGTCCACGTTACACTATACTTTACTATATGTTCTACTTATCGTTTAACGCAGTTTCAAGAAAACTCAACAAGCAAAATCTCCCAACGCACGTGAGAAGCCATAAAAGAAAATAATTGTTACCAGTCGCGTGTGGTTAAGAGTTCTCTGCTAGAAAATTCTTCAACACTTAAGACGATTTAGTACACACACTTTTAATTTTGGTCAAACGTACAAATTTCCTCAACATATTCTTTCACGATTTTCGAAAGACAAATTCCATCCCCTCTAATCACATAAGATTTATTATCTCCCTCCCTCATTCAACTACAAATTTTTAAAATACCTAATTACAAATGTTTGGTCTAATAGAATTTATATCTATAACGTAATTGTCAATAATCCCTGCCACAAGTAACTTGTGAGATAAATCTTTAGTGATGTCAATTTGTATTGTCAAAAACCCTGAAAGACATTCTAGTCAAACAGGCAGAAATAAATTTAAAAAAAAAATAATAGCTCACGAATCGTTATGTCCTATGAGAACTGGATCAGGACAGAGGGTAAACTTGTCTGTGTAATGTAGTATTGGGAAGCCCTCTTCCTCCTTTACCCTGCTGTGGAGTTACCATTAACATAACAGCCGTTACCACGTGACCACTGGGATAGCTCGGCCTTCTACCGAAGAAAGAGGAGGTGTTGAGAAAAACCAAGGGCAAAGTTTTGGGAGAGGGGACACAAAAGCGCCAATGGAAAGACAGATTCGACAGCCAACGCCACATTATCTAAAGCATAAATCATGATATTTGGTAGAACAAAAAGGACAGATGGTAAAGATTTTTCCTCTAAAGAAAACTCTTAGGCCTTTAAATATAAATCTAATGAAGATAGCATCTTTGTGAACACTAGCACAAATGTGAATAGCAGTATCATCCTTGTTATTTTGATTCAAAAGTGTTATGTTTTCGTAAATAAACAGAAACACGTATATTCAATTTCAGCTTACCTTCGAGTGTTCTGCGTTTCCGACATTAGACATCGAAGTTTCATTTTCATTCGGCACTTCTAGCGAACATAACAATATAGCATTTAACGTTTCTTCCAGGGTTTGCTTCAAAAGTGTACAGATCATGAGGAGCAAGAAAATTTCGTTATTTTACAATGATATTAGCCTATCTGCTGTAAAAATATTAAGTAGAAACACATCGATACAATTTTTGTATTATTAATTTTTTAAGCTGAAACTTTATCTTTTATAGTACGATTTATTTAGTAGTGCATTTGATGTAAATCAGCATTTGCTTTTTCATCCAATCGGGAGCGTATATGTCGTTACAGTGACATCACTATGGGGATTGGATGAAAACGTGAACAGCTGATTTACTTCAAGTGCATAGTTGAATAAATCCTAGCATAGTGTGCGTTGCCTTCGTCAAACTCAAGTTTGGAGAGAAACGATAAGGCATCGAAGAAAATGAGAGAGAGGAATGAAAAAGATAAAGAGCTAAAACTAAAAAGAAAAAGTCGTTGAATAAACGGAAGGATATGAAATAAGGACATGAGACACTGATTAGATTAATGAAGAGATGAAAGTGGAGGACTGGTGAAGAAACCTAAGATCAGTTGCTTGCTCTCTGAATCAGATTATTTATGTTGAAAAGATTGTGTTCCCGAAATAATGTAACGAGCAATTTGGACGGTGTAGTGCCGTCAAATGTTTTATGATAAAATGCGATGATTAAAAATAATTTTTTCTAGTAATTTATGTTTTTAACCTTTTAAACATTTCCAAAATTTTAATTCAAAACAGTTTTGAGTGGATTCACTTGCAAAATACGAGTATATTGTTCTAAATTTAGAATGAAACGTGATTATTACCTGCCATGTAATTGTCTAATTTATTTCCGTGACACATCGGATTCAGGAGAGTCGCTTTCATTTGATGGATTTGGCGGATCGCATATTATTGCCTTAGACGGCATTCTCAGTCGTCTGTGCGAGATTTTCTAGAGAGATGGGCTCTAAGATATCTGGAAATCAACCAATCGCCTAGATCCAGGCTTGGGAGTTGGGGCAAACTAGGAAGATAAAAGAAATATAAATATTGCACGGGTATCTAAAATTCGCTCAAAGTCTATTATACACAGCAAAATTTCAATTGCAATCAAACGCGCACTTTCGAACACTCCAGTTACATTAATATCATAAGCTTACTGTATATTAATCCCTTTTAAAAACATAGCAACATGAAAAAATCTGAAGAAAATGAACTTCTAGGTAAGAAACAATGCCAAATTAGAT